GAGAGGCTAATTACAACCCCGAGGATAATTACAAGCCGGAGATCACCCCAGCCCCGGGCTGGACACTCGTGTCGCGGGGTGACACGCGGGGACAACTCCGGTACCGAGGGGGGTTTGTCCTCCGTTCCCGTGTCACCTTGTGGGACACCTCCCTCGGCTCTCCCAGCCTAATTACCCGCCCTTAATTAGCTGCCGGTTATTTGTGGCGGGGCCGCGGGAGTTCCCGGCGCTCTCGGTCGCGAGGGATTTCTTTTTTTTTTGGAGGACGGTGACTTGTCCCGCTGGTTTTGGTGGCCCCGAGGGGACAAAGCGGCCGCTTCCACTCTGCTCCAGCTCATCCTTCAGGGATGGAGAAGAGCCGTGAAAAATCCCGCTGTGGGAATGGTTAAAAATACCCCAAATCGGCCCAAAAACCGATCTGGGGTATTTAACCGATTTGGTTAAAAATACCCCAAATGGGCCGTGAAAAGTCCCGCTGTGGAAATGGTTATCCTGATTTTCCCTTGATTTATCCTGGATTCTTCCTGTTTTTTCCCTGGATTTATCCCAGATTTATCCCAGATTTTCCCTAGATTTATCCTGGATTCTTCCTGAGTTCATCCTGAATTCTTCCTGGGTTTTCCTGGATTTATCCTGTATTTTCACTGGGTTTTTCCTGGATTCATTCTGGATTTATCCCAGATTATCCCTGGATTTATCCCAGATTTTTCTCTGATTTTCCCTTGATATATCCTGATTCTTCCTGGGTTTTCCTTGGATTCATCCCAGATTTTCCCCTGATTTTCCCTTGATATATCCTGATTCTTCCTGGGTTTTCCCTGGATTTATCCTGGATTTTCCCTTGATATATCCCCAATTCTTCCTGGGTTTTCCCTGGATTTATCCTGGATTTATCCCAGATTTTCCCTTGATATATTCCCGATTCTTCCTGGGTTTTCCCTGGATTTATCCCGGATTTTCCCTTGATATATCCCCAATTCTTCCTGGGTTTTCCTTGGATTCATCCTGGATTTATCCCAGATTTTCCCTTGATATATTCCCGATTCTTCCTGGGTTTTCCCTGGATTTATCCCGGATTTATCCCTGATTTTCCCTTGATCTATCCCCGATTCCTCCTGCGTTTTCCCTTGATTTATCCCACATTTATCCCTTATTTATCCCCGATTTTCCCCGTATTTTCCCCGGCTTTCTCCCCGCTTTGCTCCTGCTCCCTGCCACCCCGCGTGTCCCCGCGTGTCCCCGCGTGTCCCCGCGTGTCCCTGGTGGCTGCAGGAGGACAACCACAGCTACTACGTCTCGCGGAGCTACGGCCCGGGGGACGCGCGCCGCGCCGCGCTCTGGGTGGACATGGCGGCGGCCAGCGGGGGCCGCGCCAAGGTCCACGGGATCCTCTCCAACACGCACCGGCAGGCCTCGGTGAGCCCCCGTGTCCCCGTGTCCCCGTGTCCCCGTGTCCCTGTGTCACGGCGACCCCGTGTCCCCAGTGTCCCGTGACACCGTGTCCCTGTGACCCTGTGATCCTGTGTCCCTGTGACCCCATGTCCCCCATGTCCCCGTGACCCCATGATCCCGTGTCCCTGTATCC